GGTGATATATATATATATATATATATATATATATATATATATATATATATATATATATATAAATATATAAAACAAATGTTTCTTTTATAAGTTATTATTTTGTTGACAGTGTCAACTGAATAATGTTTTTTTTTTTGCCATTATGTTTAGTAAAGACTCCAGCAGTGCAACGCTTTTCGCTTCTTGTTTTAATATAATTTCTGATTTAAACTTCAGCAAAAATGCTGATATTGTTCAGTTCAGTGAATCACTTCAATACTCTGATTCAGTGACTCATTGGCATCGTCTCTCAATAATGTTCATGTAAGTGTGCATGTGGCATTTTCTTACATTACTTGTAATATATTTCTCAAAATATTTTAGTAAAAACTTGTATTATTACTGAATATATTGTTATTGGGATGCATATGAATGAAAATGATTAAATATTGTCATTCCTTCCTTCCTCTTCTTCTTCTTCGCTCTGGGAGTCTATGATAGCCCATAGAACCGCTTGCGGGAAAGTTAGGAGGTTTGGCACACACATAGAAGACAGTCTCAACATTAACCATAGCTGGTTTGGAGTCTCTAACGCAAACCCTCTAGCGCCACCATCTGCTCAAAGTTGTACTCACATTTATGCTAATAACAGTTGAACCACACGGGCTAGAAACAAAATTCTATTTTCTTCTGATTCCTTGGTTTAAGACAATTCGATATCGAAAAATCGGACCAGCTCATCTTCAGACCTTGCTTAAAAAAGCTGTGGAATTAAATTTGATTAGTCAAAGCGTTCTTGAATAACGCGCGAGTGAATTCGACGAAGAGCACACCAAAGTGGACGTTAGGCTATATCTCCATAACGCTTTAGCACATTCAAACCAAACTTGGTGTGCGTTATAATAACCAGGACCTGAGGTTACCTGCACAGTTTCGGCACAGCGCCACCTAGTGGTCTGGAGATATGAAAAATTTACATTTTTGCTTATAACTACTGAATATTTTGGCCAAAAATCACAAGACTGGTCTCTTTAGATTCGGTATGACATACTGAGTTGAAAAATACCCTATTTTTTTTACCATGTTGGGCATTCTGGGCATCGGGCATTGCAGTTGTCACTGGAGAGGTACCTTTCACTAAGATGTACAATTTAGGTACTAATATGTACACTTTAGGTGTCAATATGTACTTTTAAGGTACTATTATGCATCCTTTAGGGGTAAATAAGGTACAAAGGTGTGCTTTTTTCACAGATACCACCCTAGTAACAGCTTTTGTACCTTTTTTTTCTGAGAGTGCATGTATACGTGTGTGTGAGATTGTATGTATGTGTGTTTATAGACACGTAGATTTACTTGAGCTCAGCGTTGACTCTATAAAGTCTGAGACTCGCTGTGGATTGTGCTGAGCAGGCTTGAGCTGTTGATTTACTTACAGCACACACACACACACACACACACACTGCTGTTGAATGTAGAGGAGATATAGCGCTCAAGGGTGAGTGGGCCTCAGGAAGAGTGATGTGTTATGTGCTCAGCGGCCCTCTGGGGCTCTCACACTCACACACACACACACACACACACACACACACACACACACACACACACACACATATACATATAAGCTATGTACTGTTACCCATGAAGTGCTCATAAATATTCATGAGGTGTGTTCTTCAGAAATGCTGACATCCAGTCTTCCAGACTCAAAGTCTTCTGGGATGTGTCCCATATCAGCTGTGCTCTTCTCCCCTGGCTGTGTAGCCTCCGTAGGGACCCTACAGAGGGAGTACAGTGGGAATCAGTGACGCCGTATGCGGGATCTGAGCGCTTTAACTGCAGCACGATAATAAATCAAACTGACTGTCACACGCGCTTAACAGAAAAATACACAATACACGTGTGAAGACTTGTAGGGTTATTAACTGTGCTGGAGGCTAGTTTGCAGCTTTGCAGTGAAATATACTCTTTTTTTTGTTCATATAATTAATTACACCACAAGATATTAACAAAAAATAGCTACCTACATTTGTCTGTGGGCAAAGGTTAACCATCAGTGTGAATACCTGAATAGCAGAAATAGTTTCTATTTTTATTGATCGATTGATTAGTCCCTAGAATGATAAATAAATAAATAATTTCAAATATACAATTTGAAATTCTAAATTTTTAAATTATGGCTGGGTACCTAGAACAATAAATAAGAGAAAAATAAAATGTTAAAATTATTATTATTTTTTTTTTTTTTCAGTTCTCATTTCATTTTACTTTACGTTTTAGCATTTGTGTGCTATGCACTTTTGTCACTTTTATTATTTTGTCACTACATTTATTTTGCTCTGATGTTCTCTTGTACTTTGATAATGTGGCTGTGTATCTGTAATTGCTGCTTGCAGCGATGTTTTGATATCCAGGTGTAATATTTCTGTTCAGAGGGATGTGAAAGCGTTCTGATCTGTGTCTCTCTCTCTGCAGACGGCAGACTCGGTTCATGATCTGCTGCTGGACATCATCACATGGGTGGGAATCCTGCTGTCTCTGGTCTGTCTGCTCGTCTGCATCTTCACCTTCTGCTTCTTCCGCGGCCTGCAGAGCGACAGGAACACCATCCACAAGAACCTGTGCATCTCGCTCTTCATCGCTGAAACACTCTTCCTCACTGGCATCAACCGCGCGGACCAGCCCGTACGACACACACACACACACACACTCACACTCACACACACATATACACACACACACACACACACACACACTCACACACACATACACACACACATACACACACACAACTTATCATTTCAGTGTTATTTTCGTAGCATGAACAGCTATTCAAATTTGAGTTTGGTTTAATTTTTATAGTTTCCATTTCCATTTTTTTTCCCAAATATATTTTATTTAAGGAGCAATAATTCTTTTATGGTTTTAGTCTTAATTTATGTGATGATAATCCTGATATTTTCATTGTACTTGCATTGTTCATCACATCACAGTTATTTTATTTTTTTATTGTTTTAAACATAAACAGAAAATTGTGTTGAATGTATGCTTGCATGCTTGACAGTGGCTAAGAAAAATAAACGCAATTCAATATACTAAAAAAACTTGAGTACTATATATATATTTAAACATTCTACTCATTTGACATACCACTTTTTCCATACTGTGCAGCTGGGAAGATCGTGTATTTGGACACGGGATGTTTTAAATGGCAGACTGCATGTACTTATTAGTTCATGAGAGGGTGAAATAGCACAAGTGTGTGTGTCATAAAGATTTAATGAGAGAGCGTTCAGTGAGTGTGACTCTAATGCAGAACGTCATGCATGATTTATAATCTTTAAACCCTCTTATTTCACATTTTTCAATTATCTGAGAAGGTTTGTGAGGTTGCAGAACAGCATCCATCAATGTCCAGGTAACGAGAGCTTTTGTGTGTGTCTTTCAGATCGCCTGCGCCGTCTTTGCGGCTCTGCTGCATTTCTTCTTCCTGTCTGCGTTCACGTGGATGTTTCTGGAAGGCGTTCAGCTCTACATCATGCTGGTGGAGGTGTTTGAGAGCGAGCATTCGCGCAAGAGATATTTCTACCTGGCCGGATACGGCATTCCTGCGCTCATCGTGGCCGTTTCTGCCGCAGTGGATTACCGCAGTTACGGGACGGACAGAGTGTGAGTCTCTCACACACAAATACACTCAAATCTGGGTCTTGCTGGGATGTGTGTGTGTGGTCGCAGGAGGGTTGAAGTTTAGTCTAATGTTGCGGAAATTAAAGTCTGAATAATTGAAAGGACTCTCATGTATCAGCCAAAAGACACAAGAACCTTGGAGACGACCTGCAGTATTACTTCCTCTGTGTGTGTGTGTGTGTGTGTGTGTACGTTAATTTGATGCTTGAGTGATGTGTTTTTGTCTCATTTTCAGGTGCTGGTTGCGGTTGGATACTTATTTCATCTGGAGTTTTATAGGCCCCGCCACACTCATCATCATGGTAACCAGCTCTGATACTCACTATAACCTACATTTAAAACACTCAGTCTACATCCTGGTATCCTCACGTGTGAATCGTAAACAAATCATGTGCTTCCGTTCTTCCCAGCTGAATGTGATCTTCCTGGGAATCGCTCTCTACAAGATGTTCCACCACACCGCCATCCTGAAGCCAGATTCTGGTTGCCTTGACAACATCAAGTAAGCCTGACAGTGAGGGGTGGGGCCTGTTGGATGGGGTCTCTGTGGGTGGAGCATGTGGAGGGGAGGAGCCTGTGAGATGGGCTCTCTGTGGGTGGAGCTTGTGAAGGGTGTGGCCGGTGAGGTAGGCTCTCTGTGGGTGGTGCTTGTGGAGGGGAGGAGCCTGTGAGATGGGCTCTCTGTGGGTGGAGCTTGTGGAGGGTGTGGCCGGTGAGGTGGGCTCTCTGGGGGTGGAGCTTGTGGAGGGGTGGGGGCTTTGGGGAGGAGCCTCCGAAAGGTGGGCCTGTGGTGGATGGGGCCTTTGAGATGTCTAAAGTTTATTTTACTATTCATCATTCCTCCAGTGATGGCTAATAATCAGATTTTGTGTTGTGGAGTGCCATATGCATTGCTCTCGAAATGCATCAGGACTAGGAATTCGCGTTTACGCTACAAATGTAATGTGATGTCCAAATGTGCAACTGGTGATCATATAACAAAACATTTTAGACCACATTTTCACCTATTTTTCTTCGCTCAGATCAGTTGAGTTGCTCAGTTTGTTCGAGTAGGGGACAAGTAATGGAACGGAAACGTGGTAGGAATGTTGTGTTTAGGAAACCTGTTTGGAAACAGCCATTATGCTGCTCTCTTTTATGGCTCTAATCATGCAGAAATGACACACTTCACGCATATAAACAGGAGTTTAAGCGGCCCATTGAACATCTACAGCGGAACCCACATGGCTCATTTGTCATATTGTTGTTGTAGGATGAGGTGAAAGTAAAACTGGCACAGGTATCCCACATTGTGCGTTTGTGTCCGTCTGTGTATTCAGTGGGGAGGTTGTCGTTACCTGAAGATCTGTGTTATTTCACAGGAAAGAGCAGCAGACATTCTGCCCAAATTAACCTCCGCATGCACATGAATATTCATCATCGGAGCCACACAGCAGCCACTCAGGAGAGCAGAGCACTGAAAGGACTATAAATATGCAAATGTATGGCTGTCCCCTCAGATCCAGCATAGAGAGCAGGACAGTGAGATGGTGTGTGTGTGTGTCCAGTTGTTCATGTGTGTGCCTTTGTATCCGTGATGCATGCTAATCAGACGGTTTGAGTCAATGATCTTGTAGCATCACTGCTGTGGAAGAGGCCATATTTCACAGTGCATCACCGCATGTTAAAGGGCCAAACTTGACTGATGTGTCCCTTTGCCCAGAGAACTGTGAGCGAAGTGAATACATCCTGAATCTGACACGTGGCCTTGGGATTCATTCTTGAATTATTTGTCTTGTACTTTTTTTGCTCTACAGGCTTTTTAGAAACACATTCAATGCTTTGAACCAAACCAGAAAGGATTCACAGCATTGAAAACATTGATTTGATAACAAATTTGCAAAAAAGACCAAGGTACAAGACTCTGTGCTTTATGTATTTTAGGAGAGAATGAAAAATCAAGGCAGAAATAGCCACGCAATAACAAACTATTAAAGTATGAAATATATTTGATGTTTATTACAATATATTAAAATGCAGACCCTTGTGAAAATAAGTGTGCTTAATTGAGTAAGCACTTGAATGAGCACTTGTAGTGTACAGTACTTCAAATCTTAAAGTATATTTAAAAAAGTGTATGTGCAGATAATATAATATTAATTAAATAAACGGCATGCGAGTTAAAAAGATACATTTTCATGATTTAACACACTTAAGTACACTTTTAAAAAGTGCACTTTATAATAACATCAGATTAAAAGTTTTATTTTAACACATTTTAAATCATTTAGTTTTGATTATCTTTTGTTGTGCTTTAGAGAAGTACACTTATTCCGATGTGTTGACTAACATACTAAAGCACATGTAAAGTACTTGATTATCATTTTAACTATAATGTGTTATTCGATGTTAAGTGTAAAGTTTATTAAATGTACTAAATTTCAACTCTATCATTACAAATGTTTAATTACAAATGTATAAAATACATAACATACAAGTTTCAATAGAAATTACATTAAAGTGTATTTTATTTTACATATGTAGATGTACTTAAGTCCTACTTAACTGAGTCAAGAAACACTCTAACCTTCAGCTAATTGTAACTAATGCATTTTTATTTAATTGAAGTTGACGTAATTAAGTGTCTAAAAACCTTGCAATTATATTTGCAAATAAGTCTATTCTTTTAAAGTATATTATTTCCATAATAAAAAAAATATTTTTAATATGGAGTGTGCTTTTCACAAGGGTGTAAACTTATGATGTAGAGACTGATTCGATTATGTTTTTGTTTTTTTTTGCAATGTTTTATGAGATTGAACGATCACTGTTACGCTGCTGTCAATATTCCCAGAGTGACAGCTTCTCTGATTGGTGGAT